CATTTCTTTATTTGTCTTGCCTTTTTTACTCATAGCCTGAGGGGCCAGGCAGGTCTCGGAAAAAGCCCCGCTTCCCTTCCCCAAAGGGTCTCTTGCCAGCGTGAGGCCTCCTCCTCCTCCTCCGCCACGGGATGGATGGCCTTCGCTCCCCCTAACAATGTCCTTTTCCTCCAAACTTTTCTAGGAAAAGGGGGTGGCCCCCTCAGCAATCAGCACCGCTTCTCTTTCTCTTTTTCTTTTTATAAAGCAAGACGCCCCAGGCAAAGCAGAGAGCGTCCCCAGAGTTCGTTTGTTTATGTATCAGTGTTCCTCGACTTACGACCACAGATGAACCCAAAATTTCCATTGCAAACGAGACAGTTTTTAAGTGAGGTTTCCAACCTTTCTTGACACTGTTGAAAAGTGAATCACTTTTCTTCTAGCCCAATCCCCCCACCGCTCACGTGAAAATTTCGTGACATGGTTGTTACATTAATCTGGCATTAGGGTAGGATAGGATAGGATAGGATAGGATAGGATCATGGGATAGAATAGAATTATGGATTAGAATAGAATAAGTAGAGTAGGGTAGGAGAGGAGAGGAGAGGGTAGAATAGAATAGAATAGAATAGAATAGAATAGAATAGAATAGAATAGAATAGAATAGAATAGAATAGAAATACAGAACAAAACAGACCAGAATAGTAGAATAGAAATACAGAACAGAATAGAATAGAAATAAAGAATAGAATAGAAATATAGAATAACAGAATAGAACAGAATAGAATTACAGAATAGAATAGAATAGAATACAATAGAACTACAGAACAGAATAGAATAGAACTACAGAACAGAACAATAAAATAGAACTACAGAACAGAATGGAATTACAGAAGAGAAGAGAAGAGAAGAGAACAGAACAGAAGAGAAGAGAACAGAAGAGAAGAGAATTATGGGATAGAATAGAATAGAATGGAATGGAATAGAAGAGAAGAGAAGAGAAGAGAAGAGAAGAGAAGAGAAGAGAAGAGAAGAGAAGAGTTGAAAGGGACCTTGGAGGTCTTCTAGTCCAACCCCCTGCTCAGGCAGGAAACCCTCCCCCATTCCCTCTTGAGTTTGCCTATCAGAAGGCCGGGAAAGGAGATCACATGATCCCAACCGTCATAAATACAAACCAGTTGCCAAATGTCTGAATTTTGGTCACGTGGCCCTGGGGGGGTGCTGCAATGGTCGTAAGTGTGAAAAACGGTCATAAGTCAGTTTTTCCAGTGCCATTGTAATTTGGAACGGTCACTAAATGAACGGCTGCCTTACCTTCTTAGGCTTCCCATCTCACTACTCAAAGCCATCTAAAACACAAAGATAAAAACACGAAAAGGGTCAGGAATTAGATAAAAGGAGGAAGCCAGTCCACAAATGGCTTTGAGCCCCACCCCCCCCACCCCCCCATAAAGCAAGAGACTTCTAAACTAAGCCGAGGTCAGCTAATTAAAGTCAGAAGTAGCTAAACTGTGAGAAACAAGAAGAGAAACAACGGAGAAGGTGCTCTGGAGTCTGTATCCAAGAGCTGGAAAATAGGGAAGGGATTCACCGCATTGTGATAATCTTGCGCGGATCGGTAGGTGGACCTCATGGTCCATGGGAGGTGCCATAACCACCCTTGACCACTCCAGAGGCTTCGATCCTGCTGGCTTCCATTGAATCCTTGTTGGCTAGATGATGGAGAATCTGCAAGGAATCCAACCCTCTTATCACTGGGAACATGGTGGACATTTCCACCCTGTAGAACCTCGGGAGGAATTTGGAAAAGGCTGCCCCTGGATCTTCTCAACCATTCCTTCTCCCTCTCTTGGTCTCTCCTTCCCTTCTTGACCCAGGAATTTTCACTGCTGGGTGGAATGTTGGATGGCCCGTCCAGACCTTCCGAGCGGCTACGACGGCTGGCAGGCCTTGGACCCAACGCCACAGGAAAAAAGTGAAGGTAAGTGATGGAGACATTGCCAGCGGTGGAAGGAAGGCCCTCGGATGGAGCAGGCTGTCAGCTGCCAAATCCACACTTGTAAGGCCACACTTGGAATCCTGCATCCAGTTTTGGTCACCAGGATGTCAAAAAGATGTTGAGACTCTGGAAAGAGTGCAGAGAAGAGCAACAAAGGTGATTAGGGGACTGGAGGCTAAAACATATAAGGAACGGTTGCAGGAATTGGGGATGTCTAGTTGAATGGAGAGAAGGATGAGGGGGGAAAGAATAGCAGTCTTCAAATATCTCAGGAACTGCCCCAAAGAAGAGGGAGTCAAGCTCTTTTCCAAAGCCCCTGAAGGCAGGACAAGAAGCAACGGTTGGAAACACATCAAGAATTTGGAGCAGCAGGTCACAGACAGGATATTTTAGGGAAGTGCCTTGTCTGCTTAATGTCATATTTATTTACTAACTTAAACATGAGCCAGCCATGTGCAGCAGCTGCCAAAAAAGCCAACACAGTTCTAGGCTGCATTAACAGAGGGATAGAATCAAGATCACATGAAGTGTTAATACCACTTTACAATGCCTTGGTAAGGCCACACTTGGAATCCTGCATCCAGTTTTGGTCACTATAATGTAAAAAAAGATGTTGAGACTCTGGAAAGAGTACAGAGAAGAGCAACAAAGATGATCAGGGGACTGGGGCTTTAAACATATGAAGAAGGTTGCAGGAATTGGGTGTGTCTAGTTGAATGAAAAGAAGGACTAGGGGTGACATGATAGCAGTGTTTTAATATTTGAGGGGCTGCTACAAAGAAGAGGGAGGGGTGTCAACCTATTCTCCAAAGCGCCTGAAGGCAGGACAAGAAGCAACAGATGGAAACTAACCAAGGAGAGAAGCAACCTAGAACTAAGGAGAAACTTCCTGACAGTGAGAACAATTAACCAGTGGAACAACCTGCCTCCAGAAGGTGTAGGTGCTCCATCACTGGAAGTTTTTAAGAAGAGACTAGGCAGCCATTTGTCTGGGATGGTATAGGGCAAGGGTAGGCAACCTTGGCTCTTTTATGACTCGTGGACTTCAACTCCCAGAATTCCTGAGCCAGCATGGGGGAACTATGCCCCCCTCATGACTCGTGGACTTCAACTCCCAGAATTCCTCAGCCAGCATGGGGGAACTACAGCCCCCTCATGACTGGTGGACTTCAACTCCCAGAATTCCTCAGCCAGCCTGGCTCAGCTTGGAAACCTCTCCCTTTCCCCTCAGCACGGCTGGCTCAGGAATTCTGGGAGTTGAAGTCCACCAGTCATAAAAGAGCCAAGGTTGCCCACCCCCGGTATAGGGTTTCTTGCTCCATAAAGGGGTTGGGTTAGAAGACCTCCAAGGTCCCTTCCTGCTGTTTTATTCTATGTTCTGTGTGCTCCCTCTGCAGGAGTCTACTGCTGCGGGCCAACTCCGGTGAAAGCCGTCAGGGAAGGAGACCTTGACCTGAAGTACGACGTGAAGTTTGTCTTTGCCGAGGTCAACGCCGAGGTGGCCTTCCTGATGCTCCAGAGCGACCTGTCCCGCAAGAAGACCATGCACCCCACCATCGTGGGCAAGAAGATCAGCACCAAGAGTGTGGGGAGGGACACCAAAGAGGACATCACACACACCTATAAGCATCGTGAAGGTACTTCGCAGCAACTTGAGGGGCCGTGGGAAAATTGGGCGGAAAGACAGGCAGTCCCGGGCTTACGACCGTCGCTGAGCCTGGAATTGCAGTCATCACTCAGGCCAATCCTTAAGTGGCTCCCCGCATGGAGATGACCAAACCTATGACCTTTTTGAAGTGGTCCTTAAGTGAATGCAGGTAGAACAATTAACCAGTGGAACAACCTGCCTCCAGAAGCTGTGAATGCTCCAACACTGGAAGTTTTTAAGAAGAGACTGGACAGCCATTTGTGACTGAAATAGTATAGGGTTTCCTGCCTGAACAGGGGGTTGGACTAAATGACCTCCAAGGTCCCTTCCAACTTTATTATTATTATTATTATTATTATTATTATTATTATTATTATTATTATTATTATTACTACTACTACTACTACTACTACTACTACTACTACTTCTACTACTACTACTATTACTATTACTATTATTGATGATCATCGCACAGTCAGCCAGATGTTCAGACTGGATTTGGCATTTTTGTCTGCCTGTCGAGTCCTTATCCAGGCAGATGTGGATATTTGATGGTATTACAGATCTCGTCGCAGGATGGAAGCAGTCCCTAGTAATGCTGCCTTTTGCAATTGACTAATAGCAAATTTGTCAATGCCGATGATGGTGTCCAAGTGGTGCTCCAGATGTTTTGGGATTGCACCCAAGGCACCTATTACTATTGGTGCCACCCTTGCTTGCCTTTGCCACAGTCTTTCTATTTCTACTTGTAGGTCTTTGCATTTTGTTATCTTCTCCAGTTCTTTCTCGTCTATTCTGCCGTCTCCAGGCACTGCCACGTCCACTACCCAGACTTTTTTGTCTTTCTTATCGACAATTGTTAAGTCCGGGGTGTTATGTTGCAGGTGCTTGTCTGTTTGAATTCTGAAGTCCCAGAGCAGTTTAACTTTATCATTTTCTATGACTTTCTCTATTTTATGATCCCAGCAATTCTTGCTTACAGGCAAATGATATTTCATGCAGATCTTCCAATGCACCATTGTTGCTACTTTGTCATGCCGCTGCTTGTAGTCAGTCTGTGCGATCTTCTTGCAGCAGCTGACCAGGTGGTCCACTGTTTCTTCAGCTTCTTTGCATAGGCGGCACTTACTGTCTGTTGCTGTCTTCTCAATTTTGACTTTATATGCATTTGTCCTTAAGGCTGGGTCTTGTGCAGCCAGAATTAGTCCCTCGGTCTCTTTCTTCAACTTTCCTGCTCTTAGCCATTGCCAGATCTTGCTTTTATCTGCTTTCCCAGCTATTATTTTAATGTAGTATAATAATAATAATAATAATAATAATAATAATAATAATAATAATAATAATAATAATAATAATAATAATAATAATAATAATAATAAAGTTGGAAGGGACCTTCGAGGTCATCTAGTCCAACCCCCTGCTCAGGCAGGAACCCTACACCATTTCAGACAAAGGGCTGTCCAGTCTCTTCTTAAAAACTTCCAGTGTTGGAGCCTTCACCGCTTCTGGAGGCAGGTAGTTCCACTGGTTAATTGTTCTCACTGTCAGGAAGTTTCTCCTTAGTTCCAGGTTGCTTCTCTCCTTGATTAGTTTCCATCCGTCGCTTCTTGTCCTGCCTTCAGGTGCTTTGGAGAATAGCTTGACTCCCTCTTCTTTGGGGCAGCCCCTGAGATACTGGAAGACTGCTATCATGTCCCCCCTCATCCTTCTCTTCTAGACATCCCCAATTCCAGCAACCGTTCCTTATGCCTCTATTCTGTTCTTCATTTGGTCTTTATTATTATTGTCATTATTATTGTTGTTGTTGTTGTTGTTGTTATTATTATTGTTGTTGTTGTTGTTGTTGTTGTTGTTGTGTCCGGAGTTTCTTCAGAAATAAGTGGGGTTTTGCAGCATTCCTCCTATGCGGGTGGAGGGAGAGGAGCTGCCCTCTGGGTACCCCCCAAAAAGGACATTTGTCAGCGTTCTCTGCCCCTGTTTTTCCTGCAGACTCGGAGGAGGAGAGAGCCAGCTTCGACAAGGCGAAACACGAGAAGACCCAGACCCCGCAGGAGGAAGGCTTGGCCCTCAAGATCAAGGCTTCCGAGGGGATGAACAACGGGTGTGACTTCGATGTCTTTGTGGTCGTCAACAACAACACGCCCGAGGAACGCCACTGCCGGCTGAGGATTTCGGCCGCCACCACCAGCTACAACGGGGAGCTGGGCCCCGAGTGCGGGTGCAAGGACCTGCTGAACGTCAACCTGGAGCCCCACGGAGGTAGTGCCCGAAGAATAATTGGGGGTTCCAAATTACGAGCTAGGGCTGTGCAAGGATGCGTCGAAATGAAACCCAGACAGCTGGGAGGAAGGAAGAATTATTTATTCCCAAAAGCAAAGAGATTTGCCGGGGTTAGGGTTAGGGTTAGGGTTAGGGAGCCAGAGAGGTTGCTTTATAGGGGGGCTTGTCTTTGGTGTGGGTCTTGAGGGGTGTGGAAGTGTGTACGTGCTGGTTCTAGGATGACACTTGGGGGGTGTGGGGGTGTGTACGTGTTGGCCCAGAGAACAGGTCAATTAGGGGGTTGGTCCCTTCCAACTTTATTATTATTATTATAACCCCCTGCTCAAGCAGGAGACCCTATACCAGTGTTTCTCAACCTTGACAATTTTAAGGCATGCGGACTTCAACTCCCAGAATTCCACAGCCAGCAATGCTGGCTGTGGAATTCTGGGAGTTGAAGTCCACATGCCTTAAAATTGTCAAGGTTGAGAAACACTGCCCTATACCATTTCAGACAAATGGCTGCCNAGAGAGAGAGAGAGAGAGAGAGAGAGAGAGAGAGAGAGAGAGAGAGAGAGAGAGAGAGAGAGAATGTCTGTATTGCAGGAATTTATGCTGGGCTCCTGGGGAGGAACATGCAATGCACACCTTGTTTTATTAATCAGAAAAGAGCTGGAAGGGACCTTGCAAGGTCTTCTAGTCCAGCACCCTGCTCAAGCAGGAGATTCTCTACCATTTCAGACAATGGCCCAGGGTCTCCTGCTTGATGCCGTTTTGATGCTCAAGATGTTCCTTCCTCTGGATGAAGCTGGAGTTTGAAGCACAAATTCTGCAGAAACATTGTGGAATCAAAAGCTGGAGGAACCAGGAGGGAGGCTCTGTGCGAGGCTGTTCCTTTGCGCTCTCTCTTTCTTTCTTTCTCTCTCTCTCTCTCTCTCTCTCTCTCTCTCTCTCTCTCTCTCTCTTTCTCTCCAGGAAAAATGACGTGTTTTTTTCCATAGCTGGGAAGGGCTCTGCAGGCCCCCAAGGAGAGCTCAGATCTTCCAGCCCGGAGCTATTTTTGGATTTAGGTAGAACTCCGGCCTCAGATTGACCTCCACGAGTTAAATGGGTTGCATCTAAAACTCCTCTGCAGCAGATTTAATTGATAAAACATGTTAAGGAGGCGGGAGACGCACGGCTGGGTTCCTGAATTAAGAAACCCAACGGAGCTTTTTTCTGATTGAAATCCGTGGGTTTTGCCAGCGACTCCTCGACCTCCGTCCTTTCTGCGTTTTTCATGACCCCGGCCTTCTCTCCTCATTCTCTTGGCTTCAGAGAGAGAAGCAACCTGGAATTAAGGAGAAACTTCCTGACAGTGAGGACAATCAACCAGTGGAACAGCTGGACACCAGAAGTCATGGGCGCTTCATCACTGGAGGTTTTTAAGAAGAGACCAGACAGGCATTTGTCCGAAATGGTATAGGTTCTCCTGCTTGAGCAGGGGGCTGGACTAGAAGACCTCCAAGGTCCCTTCCAGATTCTATTCTATTCTATTCTATTCTTATTTCTAATTCTATTCTATTCTTATTTCTAATTCTATTCTATTCTTATTTCTAATTCTATTCTATTCTTATTTCTAATTCATTCTATTCTAATTTCTAATTCATTTTATTTTAATTTCTAATTCTTATTTCTAATTCTATTCTATTCTTATTTCTAATTCTATTCTATTAATAATCATAATAAAGTTGGAAGGGACCTTGGAGGTCATCTAGTCCAACCCCCTGCTCAGGCAGGAAACCCTATACCATTTCAGACAAATGGCTGTCCAGTCTCTTCTTAAAAACTTCCAGTGTTGGAGCATTCACAGCTTCTGGTGGCAGGTTGTTCCACTGGTTAATTGTCCTCACTGTCAGGAAATTTCTCCTTAGTTCCAGGTTGCTTCTCTCCTGGATGAGTTTCCATCCGTTGCTTCTTCTCCTGCCTTCAGGAGCTTTGGAGAACAGCTTGACTCCCTCTTCTTTGGGGCAGCCCCTGAGATATTCTATTCTTATTTCTAATTCTATTCTGTTCTATTCTAATTTCTAATTCTCTTCTAATGCTATTCTTATTTCTAATTCTCTTCTCTTCTCTTCTCTTCTATTCCATTCCATTCTATTCTATTGCACCCAGAGTTCGTTTGGAATCCGGCAGTGTCTAAACTGAATAAATTTAATTAAATGGCCATGGTGGAAAAATATAAGATGATGGCCAGAACGTGACAATTGAAATTCCACCGTTCACATAGGTCACATTATTTTTTATAGGTTGTCCTTGACTTACGACCACAACGGAGCCCAAAATTTCAGTTGCTAAGCTAGACATTTGTTAAATGAGTTTTGCCTCATTTTACGACCTTTCTTGCCACAGTTGGTCCACAGTTCTTAACGTTGCCAAAGTTGGACACTTCTGGTCTAAATGAAGCAAAGAGCCCATTAATGCATCGTAGCACAGACTCCACAAATATCCAACGCATCACAACATAAAAGGAAAGAGAACATTATCTCTGTGAAAGTCCAATGACACACAACATTCCCAGACTCAAAAGAGACCTGGATTTTGACCATGCTCCCTCCGTGTTTTCCCCTGCAGAAAAGACGGTCCCCCTGCGGATCCCCTACGAGAAGTACGGCGGCTGCCTCACCCCGGACAACATGATCAAAGTCACGGCTGTGCTGCAGCAGTACGAGAACCAGAAGATCCTCCTCGGGGTGCGGGACTTCCACGTCAAGAACCCCGACATCAAAATCCGGGTGAGGCGATTTGGGGGGGAGGGGCAAGGAGGGTCCCTTGGACAAGGAGAAGGAAAGGGGGCCGAGGGGGTGAGGGCACCTGGTGGGGCGGCTGGAATAACCTTTGGGGTGGGTCAGAGCTCTTGGCCATATCTCTCTCTCTCTCTCTCTCTCTCTCTCTCTCTCTCTCTCTCTCTCTCTCTCTC